TACATGCCATGTTGTATATTGTGTGGTACATGCCATGTTGTATATTGTGTGGTACATGCCATGTTGTATATTGTGCGGTATATGCCATGTTGTATATTGTGTGGTACATGCCATGTTGTATATTGTGTGGTATATGCCATGTTGTATATTGTGTGGTATATGCCATGTTGTATATTGTGTGGTACATGCCATGTTGTATATTGTGTGGTACATGCCATGTTGTATATTGTGTGGTATATGCCATGATGTATATTGTGTATTATATGCCATGTTGTATATTGTGTGGTATATGTCATGTTGTATATTGTGTGGTACATGCCATGTTGTATATTGTGCGGTACATGCCATGTTGTATATTGTGTGGTACATGCCATGTTGTATATTGTGTGGTACATGCCATGTTGTATATTGCCATGTTGTATATTATATGCCATGTTGTATATTGTGTGGTACATGCCATGTTGTATATTGTGTGGTACATGCCATGTTGTATATTGTGTGGTATATGCCATGTTGTATATTGTGTGGTATATGCCATGATGTATATTGTGTATTATATGCCATGTTGTATATTGTGTGGTATATGTCATGTTGTATATTGTGTGGTACATGCCATGTTGTATATTGTGTGGCATATGCCATGTTGTATATTGTGTGGTATATGCCTTGATGTATATTGTGTGGTAACACTGGTATATGCCATGTTGTATATTGTGTGGTATATGCCTTGATGTATATACATCTGGTACAGACATTATATAATGTCCAAACAACATTGCATCAAATCAAGATAACATCCCTGTGCCATCTGTCTCCAGCAAAATTCATAAACTGCTTAATATCTGACATATTACCAAATATGATCTGGTAATTTAGTCAAATTCTTATCTGAAACTGTATAGACAAAGACAGTGAAGAATTCATAATTATACGGCATGATCGTGGATCTGATTGTGCAAGTCAGTTTGTGAACACCTGTGGCTGGCTACAGAAGCAATTAGGTCACACCAACCGCCAACTGTCTCAACATCTAGTCAGACATCCTCGTCCTATGTTGAGAGAGCTGGATAGGTGACAATTAACACTGTGCCTGCTCAAGCGTGACACACAGGTGTGTAACACAGAACATAGCTGACTACGCTTGTCCATTAGACCGGGCCAAGTGACAACGTTACACATGACAGAGGCCCACGAAATCTCATGAATGACAATACTTATTGAGGGGGACCACGGTCCCGTTTCACAAAGCATTCGTATCTCCTATGTTACAGTATAAGAGGTACGAATGCTACGAGAAATGTTACGAGATCATAGGTTTACAAGAGCTTTGTGAAATGGGGCCCAGGCATATTGGGTGTTTGATACAATGTTATCTGAAAATAAAAACACCCAAATGTGGGAATTGTACCATTCAATGCCGAACAAGTGGACAAGTTAGGTTTCATGCTTCTTTTAGTACTATTCCAGCAATAGCACTGAAGGTTACATCAGAATGGGCTTCATAGATTCTACCCATTAGGAGAATCGAACCCTGACAATCACCCAGTCACAATTACAGTGTGTAAAACGGAGGCTGGTGCTGGGTCACATACAGGTTATTGCCAGAGACGTTACTTAGTGAATGAGTGAGTTTCGTTTTAGTCCGCTTTCAGCAATATTCCATTAATATCATGGCCGGGGACACCAGAAATGGGCTTCCCACAATGTACTCATATGAGGAATCAAACCCGGGTCAATGGAGTGACGAGTGAATGCCTTAACCACTAGACTACCCCATAGACTGTATTTTAATTGAGTGACTCTTGTAATTGTAAACTGTTAGTGTTACCATTTGGACAAGGGTGAGTGAGTGAGATTAGTTTTACGCCGCACTCAGCAATATTCCAGCTAAATGGTGGCAGTCTGTAAATAATCGAGTCTGGACCAGACAATCCAGTGATCAACAGCATGAGCTTCGATCTGCGCAATTGAGAACAGATGACATGTGTCAACGAAGTCAGCGAGCCTGACCACCTGATCCCGTTAGTCGCCTCTTACGATAAGCATAGGTTACTGAAGGCTCATTCTAACACGGACCATCACGGGTTGACAATGACAAGGATAGGAAGACTTTCATCATGTTCAAACCTAATTCTGAACATTGTACAAGCACGAAAGATTTATGAGTAAAAAAGTGGTGTTTGAATGTGTTTTCATGTGAGATGATGAATCTGTTAACACCTGAACCAGAGTTTATCAGGTAACTTCTTTGAGTGGCATATTTGAACTTAGGAAGTACAATATCAACAGATTTTATGGATAACAACTTCTTCCATTTCGTAAGTGTGACGTTTCGATACAGATTTTTGTACCATTTTCAAGCAAGAATATTCAACAGAGTTCATCAAGATTGAAAGTCATCACGTTACTATTTTACTATATAAAATTACTATATTACTGGTATTAGGGGTGACTAGTGAGGGGGAAACAACTATTGTGATAGCGATAGTCTAATGCAACATACTATTACGACAGCGATAGTCTATTGCACACAACTATTGAAATACTATTGCAATAGTTCCTTCTCCTTGAATTGTCTCATTTGAAGTCATTTCCCAAATAAATGTATAGTTTATATGAAACCTAAACAAGTTGAAGAAGTTTCAGTGTCTTAATAACTGACAAAAAACTTGAAACTCAGATCAAGTAAACAGTTAAAACATAAACTCAATGAAGCTGCAAGTATGCACCCAAACAATGTTTGTCTAAGAGGTAACAGGGGCGGATAACTCCAAATCAAAGTGAACGAATTTGGTACTTCTTGTATTTTGCGCTAAACTATCGATAGTCACACATACTATCGATGCACTGATAGCTTTTCGTTTGTACAATCAATTAATTACTATCGTAGACTCAACAATTGCAATCCATCGATAGTTCGATGCATTGTTACAGCACTAACTGGTATACCACACTACACTTTTCAAACGATACTTACTGCAACATTTTTTCTGAGAACCGCTACATTTAGTAATAGTCTTAACTAGTTTTGCAATAAAGTCCACCGTTCAAGTTTAAAATCTACAGAGACATTCATTCACCTCTGGTGCTTACCTTGGTAAGAAACTGAAAACAGCGCAATACTTTACATAGTAGAATATAGAAAGAATCCTTAACTATCTAACCTGTTTTTGAGATTGATGCTATCTGAACCATACCACTTGGTTTTAGGGCGTTACTATGTAGAAAATAAGATCTACGTTTACAATCAATGCCATTCACTGTCAAACACCTTAACTCCGTATATGTATGCCTGTATCGCAATATATTGCAAAGTAATTTATTTGCAGTACACAGCCCTACATTTTACTGAATTAGACAAAATGACTACACTTATCACTTGGTAACACTTAAGCAACATGAACACAGCTTGTCAGAAGACAGTTATCCAGTGTCTCATCCCCATTCTATTCTGATGTATTCACAAAGGTGTTTTACATACATAAGTATCCTCACCAACGTGTAAAACTATGACGCAAAATTTCCCTGAGTCATGATACTCTTAAAATGCATGATTTGGATAAAAACAAAACACTCCATTTAAATTGAACAGGAGCCTTACTGAGCTTGGAGATTCAGACTTGAATCTGAGGAAATCTAGGCTTCATTTTGGGCTTTCTCACAGCACTGCAGAACATTAGTTAAGGTACATCTAATATTGCAACTTGTTTCCAACATGAGAGGACTTTGTACATTGATAGACGCCTATTTTAATCTCATGGCATTCAAAATCATTATCAAAACTATGGCAACAAATAGGTCATGAGTATCAAACATTCAAAAAGGAGATTTAGTTGGATAATGCATGAAAGGCAGGACAGGTACATTTTTCCAACAGTGGTGAATAACAGTATGCCCTGTCAGTTACCGAATAACTATGAAGATTTCAAAAATTAGGAAGCTTTGTCAGTGTTGTCTGCTGTGGAAATTAAGGGCAGTCATTCACACTTCATATTGGTGATTTTGCTAATTAAACATTTGGACAGGATGTTTTTACCCACGACAGGACAACATGCTATACCATTAATTATCCACAGTTCAGTGAGCGAGTATGGCTTTACGCCACTTTTAGCAATATTCCAGCATTTTAGAAGTGTACCGATATGAAACTCAGATTTGAGGTTTGCTGCACCCCTGCCCACCATCACACACAGAGACAGAGACAAACCTTACAATTTTGATCATAAAGATTATGACACAGATCCCATGATTTTAATAGATCTGCTTAATTTTGAAAGCTTTTTGCAATGTGAATTTAAGGGCCCTATAAATTTATACCGTATAATATTATGGTATTGACAAGAACTACCATTGTTCATGTTCATTTCAAGAGACACCTGTTTAGTGCATATTTGAGTCAGGGCTCATGTCGTGCAAATCTTTAGAATCATGTGCCACTCAACCTGACACCAGACTTCTTCGGACACACTTAACAAGCAAGTAAATACCTCTCTTCCAGCAACAGCTCTGTCTTTGTATTGATATACATTTATATTTAGTGTAGTGCTTCGAACTAACACACAGTACATTGAATTTACAACAATCTGATTACCATGATAATAAGCTATTATCATCAACAGTGAACTCAGTATGGTGGCATTGTTAGCTGTTTAGTAAGCTAATAGCTACAGTTATTGATGAAGTTCACTGTCAATTATAACTGTCATGTTTGTATATTTCATCTCTGGAGATGATTGATAGTTTGTATACCTTGTGTCCCTGCACTTTACAACACCGACTTGAATGTCACCAAGTCATAACTATCTCGGACGTCATTTACAGTATGTAAACATTATGATTCAGGACGCAAACAAAACACATCACTGAAAAAATACAAGCTTTTCAAATCATTTCTTAGCGTTGCTAGGTTTGATATAGTATTCAGTCTACAATACAGCCCCATTTCTACCCGAGGTCTTCCCTGCCACCTTTGAAACCCTTCCTCTATGAAAGTCACTCACCTGATAGGCTGATCAACTGGACGACACTGCATATAAACACCAGGAGAAACGTCCTCATTGTATCGGTGGCTAGCTGCTAGGGACTAGATTTGAAAGACAAAGTGATAGACAAGTTCCTTAGGAACCCCTTAGTAAATTCCTCGCAGGGTCAGATAAATATCCACATAAGTGAGACGATTTTTCAAGGGTCTATCTACAATCAAGAACGATCTGATCGCCTTCAACCATTGAGCACGCATGCGCACTGCTTTCGCTGATGACGTCACGTACGTGATCTTCCGGGTTAAATATAGTTCATAAACATCGGTCGTGATAAACTGCAATCAAGTCGACACACCTACATTTTGAGAGCTTACAAGTCCGAAAGATTTAAATGTTCGTATCCGTTGCAAGTAGATGTTTACTTCAAAGAGAAATGGACCTCAATGGTTTGAAAATAGATCCTTTCAGGGAAACAAACAAGTTCAAAGCTTCCTCAGCCACAGATAATATTCAGCATGCCGGTTAATGTATATAAGACTAGATTAGATTTCATTTGTGTATGGGTGAATCAATCTGTTTCTTTTTACTAACAAGGAAAATTTATTTTGTGTTTGTTTAAGTTTATTCGTAAACGTACAATTTATCTGTAAAATTGTAATTATTAAAGTGAGTGAGTGTGCTTTTACGCCGCCTTGAGCAATATTCCAGCAACACGGCGGGGAGCACCAGAAGTGGTTTTCATACATTGTACACACGTGGGAATCGAACCCGGGTCTTCAGCGCGACAAGCGAACGCTACCCCACATCACTGCCCATATGTAATAGTTCTTCTGTCAATCTGAGAAAACCAAACAACAGTATGTTTTCTCACATCCAAAATCGATGTTCAGAAGTCTGGTGATTTAAGTTACTACACGGGAGAAATATCCGTATGTAAACAATCCGATCAGTATATGTTGGGTACTGTACCAGCCTTTGGGTGTTGGTATATCATGTTGGTTCATGGCTTTGGGAGACCATACCATTTGTATTTTCAAATGGAAGAGATGTCAAATCTCCACTGACCGGGTTCCGCCATTGGTATTAACACAATGTGTACTATAATGTATACACTAATACTTTATGTACGCATCGTGTTAAAGGACCCGACCCGTGTCAATGTTATAGCTACTGTATTCCACACCTCCACAGGAAACATGACGCCGAGATCGTGACACAGATGTCACCTCGTGCGTATATCCTTAGTACGGCGGGATGAGTGTTGAGGGCGCTCCCCATTCTTCCCCCTGTATCCCCATTCCTCTCTCTCTCTCTCCCTCCCCTCCTCTCTCCTCTCTCTCTCCTCTCTCTCCCTCCCTCTCTCTCTCTCCCTCCCTCTCTCTCTCCTCCTCTCTCTCTCCCTCCCTCCTCCCCCTCCTCCCTCTCTCTCCCTCCCTCTCTCTCTCCTCTCCCTCTCTCCTCCCTCTCTCTCTCCTCTCTCTCTCCTCTCTCTCTCTCTCTCTCTCTCTCTCTCTCTCTCTCTCTCTCTCTCTCTCTCTCTCTCTCTCTCTCTCTCTCTCCCTCTCTCTCTCTTTCGGTAGGTAGGTAGGTAGGTAGGTGGGGTAGACTGGTGGTTAAAGCGTTCGTTCGTCACGCCGAGGACCCGGGTTCCATTCCACACATGGGTACAATGTATGATGCCCTTTTCTGGTGCCCCCGCCGTGATATTACTGGAATATTGCTAAAAGCAGCGTAAAATCACTCATAGTTTTCAACAAAATCGACACGACTACAAATTCCAAATTGATCTTGAATTTTGAAATCAATATTGCCAGCTTTCCAAAAGTGTGTATTCGTGCTTAAAGTACTGCTGTAGATTTGAAAATTCTCTTGGACCCTCTTGGTAGATTGGAAAATGAATAAAAAGAATAAACAAGAAGCCTGATCTTTGAAATGGTCCCTTCAAAGTATTGTCGGTTATACAAAGTTCAACCAAATACGACGAATTACCTGAGAAGATCCGGGTCGGAAGTGATCTTCAACAACCCATGTTTGTCGTAGGAGTTGACTAAGGGAATCGTGTGGTCAGGCTCACTGACTCGAACTCCCACACATGTGATCGAATCCCAATTGCGTAGATTGATGCTCATGATGTCAATCACTTGTCCAGACTTGATTATTTACCAACCACCTTTATATAATTGGGACACTGATGAGTGAGTGCATCGTAAAACAATAAACAGGCATACGGCAAATGTGAGAAATGTATACATACGGCAAATGTAAATAACGACGTGCAGTGAGATGTCATGCATCTTGTCCGGTATACCCTGTACATGTAACATATGTTACAGTTGGGATTACACTATCTTAGTAAAGTACACTTTATAGTACCTTTGTTAGGCTGAGTCCCATCCTGGATTCGAACCTACACTCTCAGAGTCAGGCACCTAATCGCCAGCTCACAAAGTCAGACGCCTAGCCCGCTCAGCCACCGCGACTTTCTAAGTAGAGCGGATTCGAACCCCGGATGGGACTCAGACCCAGCAAAAGTACTAGAATCTGTACTTTACTGAGAAAGTGTAACACCATATGCTACTCTTGGCCACTTTCTAAATGACATTTTGCTATCATACACATTTAACTAAGGGAACGATACATATTTATTGTATTTGTTCTGACCACAGACTCAATATTTTAAAAAACAAACCACAGTAAATCAAATTGATCTGACCCACCTCGGAGTCCGTCAGTCACATTATTTGTTTTGCGGACATTACCGTAATATTTTACGTCCGCTTTAGATACGCATTGGCTGCTGTTTGTTCGTTTGTGGAATTTATACACATTAAAGTTGCCAGCTTTCAAATAAGTTGTTTTATAAGACTGAAATATTACAAACGCTTTAAAATTGAAGCTAGTTTCCTCAAAACTCATTGACACAACGAAGCCGCCTAATCTAATCGGCCAAAACGATCACCCACAGGATATAGACTACAATGGAACTGCATCACAATGCTTTGCAGGACAGTGTGACGTCACTTGATACTATGACATCAGACATATGACATCACTCATATCTGGTAAGTTGGTAAGTTTTACACCACAGACACGGGTCATTGCTGTGTACAAACGGAAAAGGTTGAAACGTAACTCCTCGTGATGATGTCAAATTATATCCACGGAGAGTTTGGCTGAGATACACAGACTACTACGCCAGTTATCGTTAGATACCAATTTTACGAAACGAGTGATTTTCCGGTGATATCTGGCTAACTAAAATTTGCGATTTTCTAAATATTGAATTCGCAATTGTAGATTTAAACATTTCAACATAGGAAAGGGGTTGTAGTCAAGGTGAGGTGAAATTGGGTTTAACGTCGTGCTTGAGAATATTTCGCACATATGACGGCGTGCATGCGTGTGCATGTGTATGTGCGGCTGCTTGTACTAGCCCAGACTGAAGCTGGTTTTATAGTGCTAGCCCACTGAGATACCATGCCGCAGTGAAGCATGAAGATCCAACTCAGACACATTATACTGACTCCGACCAGTCCTTGTTGTACCCATTAATGCCGAGCGCCAGGCAGGGACCAACAAGTACGATATTTTAACGTCTTTTGGTATGACGCCGTCGGGGATAGAACCCGCGACCTTCCGCTCTCCAGGCGGACGCTCTAACCACTACACCACGGAGGCGGTCGTTTGTAGACAAAAGGACAAAAGGGCCAAAGACAAGTCGAATGGGCCAATGGAAAGTCAAAAGGGCCATAGATCAATTTCAAAGGAGTTGCGTGTCACGAGTCACGAGTTACCTGCCCCTACTGACAAGACGTGTGTGTGTACACGCTCTCGCTAAACCACCCAACAAAAGCCAAACCAAAAGCTGTGAGTAACACCTGACAGGACATATTGGTTTATTAAAGTGTTGTAAAGTCACCGTTATCGATGGGAATATCCCTTGACGTTTGGAGAGCGAGAATAGGAAATTTCTCACACCCACATGGGACCCGGCAGGTCGGACATGTCAGCCCGTACACCCCATATACACGGAATGGCCGTGGTATGTCGACGTGGGCTATCAGCTCCTAGCTACTACATATGTGCTGCTTAGCTCCATATACAATGCAGGTTTCATTGTTGTGTCTACCTGGTCTAATATCCTACTCTCGGGGGATGTTGAACTAAACCCGGGACCCACCGGCAAGGCTAGTCATGTTAGTGAAAGCGACTTTGAAGCCATGAAAAACGATCTTCTACAGGAGATTCGTGCAATGAAGAACGAACTTACTCGTGACATTAGGGACATAAAAACTCAAACTAGGAAACTAAGTAGTACTGTAGACGACATAAAGCGTAACATTCAGGATATACAGGGGGAACAATCTATCCTCCGTTTAGATGTAGAAGCTGTTAGTGACCGTTTGGACAAACTTGAGTGTAATTCTTGCAAAATGAAGTTGAAAAATTAGAACAATATAGTAGGCGGAATAACGTTTTGCTATATGGTGTGTCCGAAAAACCTGAAGAAGTTCGCAGTGATGTGAGAGCCTTGTCATGTGAGATTCTGAATGATGGTCTGAACTCGGACAGTGTCCGGCTGTCTCCACAGGATAGTGCTGAAGCTCATAGGATCGGACGTCGGTCACCAGAAGGCAAACGTACCAGGCCAATCATAATCAAATTCTTTACCTCGGACTGTAAAATACGTTCACTCGGACTACGGAACGGACTGAGGAGTAAAGGCTATGGGATCGCCAGTGACCTGACTCACAGACATAGGAAAATACTTCAAGATCTACGAGCACAGAACAAACGTGGCTACTTCAGGAACGGCGACGAGCTGGAAGTAACGGAGAACACGGACACCTCGAACACAGGCACATCTAGCTCCAGTGCAGCGGAAACTCCTCATGTAAACACACCTTCCACAGGTGCATAGGGGTGTGGTCACGCCCAGCTACACAACCCTACGACGTTGTGCGTAAGCAAACAATTTCTTTTTTGGAATATCTCTGGTTTCCTCAATAAACTTTCAGATACATGCTTTACCGACTACATCACTGATTCAGATATTATTGGACTTCTAGAAACATGGACTGTTGATTATGATTATGACCATATTTTCCATAAACACATATCTTACAGTATCAACGCTCTTAAAACAGCTATAAGAGGAAGACCGTCAGGAGGTATAACTGTTCTTGTGCAAAAGTCACTTAATATTTATGTGAAAACTTCTAAAATCACAGAGAATGCTGTATTCTTGTTATTTGACAAGACCG